ACGTTGCTGTTACACTGCACTTGGTTTAAAGTTTAACATTTAAAAACACATTGTTCCTTTAGTTGTTACTATCAACATCTACTTCGTTGATATCTGTCTGGTTTATAGATTATTTTTGTTACATACATTAGCACTTACAAAATCTTTAATTCTAATTTTTAATCCTTTAAAAAAATTTTTTTCTCAGATTTTAAAATTTAAAATTATCAGGGTTACTTGCCCTATGTCTATAATGCTGCAGTGGCTAGTTCTTGTTTCCAGCACTGTACAGGTGTTATTTTGTATAGTCTCCCTGTGTGCGTGCCACTGCTATTCTTTACTACGTAGTTGCAGTGTAACAGCAACGTGAGTGTATACACCTGATGATGGCCGTTTGAGGCTGAAACATGTAGTGTAAAGGAGAGCAAGATCAAGGACATATAATATATTGTTTGCACTTGCGACGGAGTTCATATCATTTATTCTCCTAAACACCCTGTTCTCAAACGCCCTCAATCTATGTTCCTCCCTTAATGTCAGAGACCCAAGTTTCACACCCATACACAACCACAGGCAAAATTATAGTTTTCTATATTCTAATTATTATGTTTTTGGACAGCAGAGGAGAAGAGAAAAGGTTCTGGACTGAATGGTAGCAAGCATTACCTGAGTTCAATCTCCTCTTAATTTCCTCCTGAATCAGGTTTCGATCTGTTATCATTGTTCCCAAATATCTGAACTGTGCCACATTTTCAAAAAATCTGTTTCCTATCTTTATGTTTATCTGTTGTAAATTCTGAAGTATTTTATCAGCTGGGTTTATAGAAATTGCCAACATTTTTTAAACACGTTAATGTCAGAAGAGTATCTTCATATCGTATACAATTGAAAATTTTATTTGGAAGGAATGTGACAACATAAAAAGTTGAGAAAATTTGGAATTTATATGAACAAAAGCAGGGTACATATTAATGTGAGGGTTCATATACGATGGGGTACCCAAAAGAAACCGAACTAATTTTTTTGTGGGCAGAGCTTTTGTAGTACCGCGTTTTGCCACTATGAGCGCATAGAGCTAACATTCCTGAGTCGATAAGCCGACTACCGTTGCTTCAGAAGGTAAGGACTAGTTTCGGCAGAGTTTATAGTGACAACTGTTTTGTGTGATCGTCGTTTTTGCAATGGCTGATTTTCGTGAACAGCGTGCGGCGGTGAAATTCTGCTTTTTGCTCGGGAAAAGTGGAACAGAAACTCTTGAAATGTTAAAAACGGCGTACAAGGACGATGCTATGGGGAAAACTCAAGTGTTTGAGTGGTTTTCCCGTTTCAAAAATGGTGAAATGTCA